GCTGTTGGAGCGGGTCCAGAGGAGGCCAGGATGATGATCAGAGGGCTGGAGCACCTCTCTGCTGAAGAAAGGTTGAGGGAGCTGGGCTTGTTCAGCTTGCAAAAGAGAAGGCTCCAGGGAGACTTCACTGCAGCCTTCCAGTACTTGAAGGGAGCTTAGAAACAGGAGGGAGAGCGACTTTGGGCAGATAGTGATGGGACAAGAGGAGATGGTTTCAAACTGAGAGAGGGGAGATTTAGGTGAGAAATTTAGATTCAGGAGGAAATTTTTCACTGTGAGGGTGATGAGACACTGGCCCAGGTTGCCCAGAGAAGCTGTGGCTGCTCCTCCCTGGAAGTGTTGAAGGCCAGGTTGGATGAAGCTTTGAGCAACCTGGTCTAGTGGAAGGTGTCCCTGCTGATGGCAGGGGGGTCGGGACTGGGTGAGCTTTAAGGTCCTTTCCAGCTCAGACCATTCTGTGTTATCCTGTGGTTGCTACATAACGAACTAGAACACGTGCTCATTGGTGGTTAACACATTCCAGGTAGGAATGTTAAGCTGGAGACTGTGAAATGTTCACGTCCCAACTCCCTGAAGCCCTTCCTTGGTCACCACAGGCCTTTATCCTCCATGCTCATCTCAGCCTGATGTTGCTCATCAGCGTGCCCAGGGCTTTCAACACCAAGTAGGATGTTTGTGTGTGTGTCTCTCTTGTCAAGAAGTTTTTGGGGACCTAGTGCAGGGATAGAGGCATAACCCCTTAGCAAATGAGAAGTCACCAAAGCTGTTTTCCTTTGGCTGCTGAGTCAATTGCCTACAGTCTGATTCCAGTGCCATATCCTGTGCCCCTAGGATGGCTGTGACTTTGTCTGCCGATCTAAGCCTCGCACTGCACCAGCTGCGTACCGCGGTGTGGGCGACGACCAGCTGGGTGAGGAGTCAGAAGAACGGGATGACCACTTGCTACCAATGTGACAGACTCTCGACACCCAGTTCTTTTCTCCCCGTCTCCCCAGTGCTTGTTCAGCCGGGTGCCTCCCAGCCAGTTCTCCTTCTCACACTTCTGATTTTCTTTATGCTTTTTGCTGGCTCTGGTGTGTCAAGTCCCATGGATGCCTCTGGATGTGAACAGCACCGGTCCCTGATGGCATGTCTTAGGAATACAATGCTGGTTTAGGTTTTTTTAAAATGCAGCAGAGCTGGGTGGGGGGGAAAAGTGCTGAGAGTTTGAGTAGAAGACAGCAAGAAAGCAATGTGAGCATTCAGCACTGAGCAGGAACAGGAGATGAATCACTGAGAGGGGAAAAAGAGCCATGGATGGGTGCAGAGAGGGGAGGGAAAAGGAGGCCATGGCTTAAAACAACTGAGACTGTAGGAAGGATCTCGTGTCTTTGGTTTTTGTTTTTGTTTTTTTTTCTCCCTAGGGTTTACAGGATCTGTAAGACACTGGAATTCTTTTTCTTTGAATGCATTTTCAGCTTTTCCAGCTTCTGCATTGTTTCTGCCAGCACAAACCTGCACAGAGTGCTTTATGCCAGACTCCGTGGAGGTAGAAGAGGCATTAGCACCTCTGCAGTCTTTTTTTTTTTTTTCCCCTTTTCCTAATGGCAATATGTTGAAGAGTACACAGCAGTTTTCTTCAACAGCTGTAAAGGGATGCATGCCATCCTCTCAGCCCAGAGAGGGGCAATGCTAAAATAACTATAGGAGTTAAATACAGTCGAGTGACTCTCCAGTTCAGTCAAAATATTGTTTCAGTTTTCTCAGTCCTTGAGAAACAAAAGGAAATGACGTGCTGCTAAGTAAAGGGAACATTTGCTGAAACTGGAATCAAGGCAAACAGGTAGCTGCTGCTTGAGTTCTGTTACAAGCTTCCCAAGGTGACTGCCCCCACAGCTCAGTTACTGTCAGCATTGTGATTTCACGCTCTCCAAAAGTTCCTTCTTTGGCAGAGGGTTTTCCTGTGATGTTACCAGAATTTATTTTTTTTTTTAAAAAAGGAACTGTAAAATCCAAGGACAAGAATGCTAACATTAAAAACTGCATACAGGGTCAGCTTTTATAAATCACTGTCCCCTGAAACATGGTGCAGACTGGGCTTAAGACACTTGCCCTGTGCAGATGGTACTCACCTACTGCTGCTGGCTGGGAGTGAGGCAGAGCTTCTCCTGGGGCCCTGGTGAAAAGCTGGTACAAATGAAATGTTAAGACTTAATGGGAACCTTCAGGAACTTGGCACCTTGATTCTTAATTCTTTTTAAGTGAGGGGCTAGACTCTAAGCAATCCCCTGTTGTAGACAGGCAGAGAACTGTCCTCAGCCGTGAGACTGAATAAACAAGCCACTGCTGTTAACAGCAGAGTACAGACAAGGTTGGTGTGTTTTAAATACTGCCAAAGCAGGCTGAGCAGTGATGCTGAGGGAAAAGGGGTAGCCCTGCTTTCTTCCTGGGTTTAGAGTGGGCAAATAATTCCTTCTTTCTTTGACTCTTATTACGGTCTCAAATCTTTCTCATAACATTGGGAAAAAGAGGAAGTCACAAAGTCTGTTGTTACTGTTTTTCATGGTGGTGTTTAAGGTAATTTTTTTTTTTTTTTTGTACAAAACACAAATTTCAAAAATAAAATGACCAAAAATACCTGGTGGTGTGTTGATGTAACAAGAACTTCCTTTGATGCCAGAGCATCTTACTTACCTAAAGGTAAAGGGGCCTTAGTGTGGTGCCTTGTGCCTGAACTCCTCCTGCCCAGGAATGGATCTCTTCCTCTGAGTACTGTGGGGTTTTTTTTTTTGCTGCCACCTTGTATCACTCCATTTCCCTTAGGCTTAAGAGGGACAGGTACACACATCTTTCCAAACTGAAACTTTAAAAGCTCAGGTAGTTATAGATGGGAAAAGGTTCCTATGCTTTGTATTTTTCTGCAACAATAAAAAAAAATAATCAAAAGGAACTTTTGGATGAAGGCTGTACTTCTCAAACACGAGGTTAATGTTCAGCTTGGGGAAGAAGGGGATTAAAAAGACCTGCTCTAGTAAAGATGTCCCTGCTCACTGCGGGGAGGTTGGACTAGATGACCATTGAGGGTCCCTTCCAACCCAAACCATTCTATGAAAAAGCAGCCAGACCTACAAAGCCTGAACAAGCATTTTTTTTTATTAAGAACACTGAACATGAAATGAAGAAATGAAGCCTTCCTGTTTGACTGAAATAAAAACCAGTCCTCAGAAGTAGCTAGGAACATGGGCAGGCTGGCTGCCTGCCCTGCCAAGGGTCAAACTAAGAGAGTTTTATCACTCCCAGCCTGCTAAGGATAAAATGTTTTAAGGGCAACCTTCTGCTGATGGCTGTTCAGAGATTCTAACCTCCCCCTTTCCCTGCCCCCAGATTGTAATATCAGGGTGCAAGTATGGGCAGCTTTCTTTGGGCCTGATTTCCTTCAAGAAGCCTCTCACAGGAACAACCATGTCATTAAAGTGGGATTCGACTGTACTGTTCAGACTGGGAAGCTGCTGCCACATTTTATCCATCTTCTAAGCACTTTCCCTCCTCGCTTTTTCTAACATAGGTCAATAAAGAGCCCATTCCAAAGATCTTGAGCCTTTTCCTACCTATGCTATTAGGCCTCTTCCCCTGCCACTACAGCCTTCCTGCAACAGCAGGTACTTTCCATCCAGAACAGTCTTCTGTTTCACTCAAATATTCACGTGAAACTGCTGAAAACAGAAAAGCTGAGACATGGTTTATAAAATCATCCTGCTTTCAGGTATTTGGCTCTAGGAGGCACTCACCTCTTCATGCTTTGTGTAATTTCTTCAGGGGTTTTTTTGCCTGTTTGTTTGGTTGAAGCAGAGGTGCTTTCCTCTGCCCAGGTTTTCACTTTTGGCAATCTGGTTATAAAATTTCAGAATACCATATTTGGTCCTTAAAAAAAAACAAAACAAAACCCAACCCCAACCCTGGAGGAGCTGAAAGGGAGGGACTCAACCTATAACAATTCTACCCCTTCGAAAGGTGAAGTAGCATTAAAGGATTAGCATTCAGTTGTTGGAGGCTGTGTTTTTGGTTGTTTTGGTTTTTAAACTGAGGAAGGGAAATATTTTCCTTTCCTAAAAAAGAAAGGTTTTACAACACCAACAAACAAACAATAAAACAACAACAACAACAAAAAAAAGCCTGAGGCAGGCAATACAATCCTGCCAGCTTAATCTTTGTCCCATAAGCTCTCCTGAGGATAATGAAGACAGACACAAAAATAATACAAACTGATAAAAGAACACAAAAAAAACCCAAAACCAAAACCCCATCCCATTTTATGAAGAACCTTGGAGCTTCTGGAGACTGCTTTGGATCTGTAAATTATGCCCTAGCACAATGGGGAGACAAACCTAGTGCTGCAGGGTTCCCTAACATAAGACAATCCCCTTCCCCTTTGATTTTCCCATCCCCTTGTCATAAACACTGAGGATAAATCCTCCTCTGACTGGTTCAGAGAAGAGCAAATAGCTGCCAAAACACTTTGTCTTCACTCTGCATCTCTACAGGAGACAGTAAAGCTAAGGCAGCTCCTATTGCCACGGGCCTTCACGTTTGGTACGTGTGCTGGAATGGTTATTAACCCCAGTTCAGCAACAGCCTCGGTATTTATTATTTTTCCTTTAAAGAGTGGAACAGCAGCAGCCCCTTTTGCTCAAATTTGTGTTTGTCCACCTCTGTCACTTGGAATTTCCTAATTTCCCCTTCCTAAATGCCCCAAGCACAGCTGCTCCCAATGTCCCTGTGGGGCCAGCTCTTCCTATGCCTCAAGTTCTGGCACAGCGAGATTCAAAACTAGAGGTCTAGCTGACCTGCTGTAGCAAAAAGGGGCGAGGGCAGTTCCCTTGCAGAAGTTTGCTAGGACAGAAAGAGGTCCCCTTCCCGTCTTTATGTAGCATAGGAGAGGCATATTCAAAATGAGGAAGAAGGAAAGATGTTTCAAGGCCCCAGGTGGGAATTTTTCTCCCCCTTGTAGCACCATTAAGAGACCAAGATGTGGGCTTGTGCGTGGCAGTTTCAATCAGTTCAATTCCTTCTCATTCTTCTTGAATATAAGACCACAGGGGACTGTCCCATTCTTCCCCACCCCAGCAGGATGCTCCAAAGCTGGCAGCTGCCCTGGCAGGGGGGTCAGAGCAAAAGTGAGACCTCTGGCTTCAGAGCTGTTAGGTCTCCTTGAGGACATTGATCTTGGCACAGATCTTGAGAGCTGGTCCCAGCTTGATGTTCATGGCACTCATGAGGTGTTCCTCCTTCAGAAGCAACAAGGCCTGGCCATCAATTTCCTGGGATCGGAACTCCTCAGCAATCTCCTGGCACCCTGTGAAACAAACAAAAAAAAAAAGCACTGAGAAACAGATGTGCCCTGGGTGCTCCCCTCATTCCTACTCTTTGGGCCTCTGGCAGGTACAGAAAGCCAGGTAGGAATCTAACCAACCCTCCTCCCTGCTCTAGGGTTGGTTAGATTCAACAACTCATCCATCTGCATCACCTACTCCAAATCAGAAACATGTACAAAGTACAAGAAAAGCATTAGGCACCAATTTCTTTCCAGAAAGAGAGACAACAGATTTCCCCGTGCTACTGGATCACAGGGCAACGGGAGAGGATCTTCACTTTACCTTGCAGCGATGCAATGAACTCGTACACTTCCTCCACACTCCAGCGACTGGGATTGCTGGACAGGAAGACTGGGTTGATGCCGTGTAGATCTGGGGTAGGTGGGGCCATACTAGAGTTTGCCAGGTCCCTCTCTCCATGACTGGCCCGTACTGACAGGGGTCCTGGAGATGTAGGGGACAAAGCTTCATCGTAGCTGGAGTTATCGGAGCCTCGACTTGAGTCTTCCTGGCCCTACAAGCCCATAGGAAAGAAAGAAAAAAAAAGGTGTTTTGTAAGAAATTGACAATGACTAGGTGCAAAAGAAGACAACAGTAACAGCAGAAGTTGTCCCAATGGTTGGCCATCAGGAAAAGGTTCTTGAGGCAGAGGGTGGTGGAGCACTGGAACAGGCTCCCCAGGGAGGTGCTCATGGCACCAAGCCTGACAAGATTCCAGAAGCATTTGGCCAACATGTGCCCTCAGGGACATGGTCTGAATGTTGGGCTTGTCCTGTGCAGGGACAGGAGTTGGACTGGATGATCCTTGTGGGTCCTTTCCAACTCACAACATTCTAGGATTCGATGATAACTGTCTCAGGCTGTTGGTCCAGGGGCAGCTGACACAAGAGCTCCCTGATGCCAAAAAGGGGAGACTTTCCTCTCACCTCCCTTCCTCTTCCTTCTCCCCATCCTGCCCCACTCCATTCCTCTTCCTCATGTCAGCTCTGAAGCTCATGTGATTCTCCTATAATTTGACTCAAATCATTAATGTGGAAGGGAAAACAGGAAAAGTGGATTGTTTCCTACCAAGGCTGCCAGCTGATCTCACTCACCGGGACCTCCGAGACGCACGTGGGAGCGGACGCAGAGCGACCAGAACAAGTACAACTGTGAATCCCCTTTTTGCAGTCGGTGAGCAATTGGAACAGCTCACTGTGCCTTGTGTAAGGACTCTGTCGGTGCACACTTGGCACATCCTGTACGACTCCAGCCACAGAGGCAGACAGGATTATGTCCTTACCCTGTGGCGCTTGCCCTGGATCTTTGTTCGAGCGATTTCAGAGCTGCTGCGCCGTGGTCCCCGTCGGCGTACACGAGCATAATTAGCTTCCTGGAATTCCTTCATCTTCTTTCTCTGCAGTCGGAACTGATGGCTGCAGCTGACGTTGTACCTCAAATAAGCAGAAGCAGAGCAGCAGTCAGGGAACAGCAGCTATATAACCTACTGCTTCTCCTTGCTCTAGATGGGGATAAAACTCCTCTTTAACGTCAAGTTCTGTTCCTCCTCCTTCTAAGACTTCCCCTTGGAAGGAACCAGCCCAGATTTCTGACACAAGCAATATTTGGACACCAGAGTCTTGATCTAACATCTGAAGGGTCAATTAAGTCATAAATTTATAGAATCACTCCCATAAAGGAAGAAAGACCTATAACAAGCACTCTGCTGTCAACAGGAGGCAATAATGACTCACCTAACATGGTTTTTCCCCCCAGTTCTCCCTCGTGTCTTTGTCTAGTTGTATTGGGTTTGCATGGCCAGGTTTTGGTAGTGGGGGGGCAGGACGTGGGGTGGCTTCTGTGAGAAGCTGCCAGAAGCTTCCCCCATGGTCTAACCAACTCGTGGGCCCCAATAAAAGCCCCCCGCCACTGGCCAAGGCCATCAGTGACAATGGTAACACCTCTGTGATAACAGAATTGAGAAAAAAAAGGGAACAGAGGAAAAAAAAGCTGCACATTTTGCAGCT